ATCTTTTCAAAACAAGAGCAAAAAGAGAGATTCATGCAAAAGGAGTACAAAAATTAGAAAGTTTTTAAATTTCACACACTTGCACTTCTTGATCAAAATGTATGACTTGCATCTCCATGGATCTGGTTTTTGACTTAGCAAAATTATGTGATGCAAGTATGCCTCTCTTTCATACCTACCTAAAACTTCACAAAAAGCCTTTAGAAAGTAGGGTGAAAAGAAGGCAAATATCAAAAGCCTTTGTTAAGGATCATACACATTGAGTGATCGAGTGAATCATTTGAAGAACTTACTTTTATTTTGCAAAACTCCTAAAAACCTCTAGAAAGAAAGTTGATCAAAGAACGAATGATTAGTGAATCTATTAAAACCGTTCTATTTCTTGCAACCACTCAAGACTTGGAAAAGAAAAAAGCCCCACAGGGATCAAGGTAAAAGGGTGGATAAAAATGCCAAATTATTTAAATCAAGGAAGAATACTTTGTTATAGACATGGTACTTTTGAAATGTAACCGGCATTGTAGCAACTCCAAATCAACAACCAATAACTTAGTTTTGCTCAGGACGAGCAAAGGTTAAGCTTGGGGGATCTTGTTGGTGGTCCTTAATGACCAAATTTTGGAGCAAGGCAAGCTTCATTGGAGAGCTTGGACTTCTAGGGGCATTCTTGGTATGAATAATATGAAGAATTCTTCTAAGTCTTTGCTCTCACTTTATCAATATAGCTATGTTATAGAATTAGAGCAAAGTTCCCTTGTTGATCATTTAGCATATAGAACTTTACGCCTAATCATTCATGCAACTTATATGGTGAGAATTAGAGCTAAGTTGAGGTGGCGGTTCATTGTAACTTAGGGTTTGCCCTTGTTCTTACTTGTTCATCCGTAGGGTCAGAGTCCTAAGGGGACAAGGGTAGTTTCCATATACATGGGCGTGGTGCTCAGGTGTATCGAGAACCAATGAATATGACTGTACTCCACGAAAGAGTGGGTAGGTGGTAGGTGCTGGCAGCCCTGTCCATCCCTTGTAATCCTCCACGTTCGGGTACAGTGTAAGAGTTCATAAATTGCCTCATGAGGTTGTTGGTAGACCAGTCCTCAGAGGTCTCCCCATCGGTCTGTTTGCTTAGGTCTAGGACTTAACCGTATATGTGTATGATCATCTGCTAATCTTAGCATAGCTATGTTAGGACATGCCTACTCCAGCTTAACAATATTATTTTATTCTTTATTCTTTCTTTACTCTTTATCCTTGAGATTGGCTTAAGAGTGTGTGTCACGCTATCCAGATTATATCTTGTCTTACCCCTATATTGAACATTGGTCCAAAATACATAGTCACATTATCTTGTCCATGTCTCCACAGAGTCTTTAACACTATGCCTTCCTTTGGAAAAAATATAAATAATGACACCCTAAATACTTTTGGGTGAAATGCTACAATGATAATTCCGTGCGCTTGCAGATTATTTCTGTAAATGTTAAGAACTATCGTCAAGGCATTTCTGGTGTTATTACCTAGAAACACATATCTTGGTAGTGACGCTAAGAAATGCCAACAACCGTGGCTCACTGTGTCCTCCTTTAGGCCACAATCGATCATACAGGGCAGGGGTGGCCGAGGTGTTGGACCTAAAAGGACCGTGATGCCTATGAGGAGGTGAATTAGGTAACTTAAAACTTAATTTCTAACTATGGTCTCTTTTTCTAAACCTTAGCCAAACCTATGCAATTAAGTAAACTATCTAAATGTGCAATAATGGTTTTGCTATTGTGTTGTTATCTCCACCGTAAAAGAAGTTATGCAATCTAGGTTCCAATCCTATCAACTAGCCTATCATTTAAGCTAGGAAAGTAAATCACACAACCAAGGTAGCAATATAAATATGGAAGCTAAAGATGCAAACTCCTGTCGACGACTTCGGTATTTTTATTGAGGTATATATCGAGAAGTGCTCAAGCTTGCCCCTAGTCCTTATTGGAGCCTCTCACAAGAAAGCCCTCGCAAGGGCCAAGCTCCCAGTCAGGTAGCTTTATGGATAGCCTCGGGTCTTCCCCACACGCAAGTGGGTCTTCGATGTGCCTTTCGACAAGTCTCTCCCGGACCGCTTCCTGCTGTCTTCACTATTAAGCTTTCGGCCAAAACGTCGTGGCCTTGTTTCGTCTTGTACACGGTGGCGGCCACACCACAAATGCAGTTGGTGTGGTCTCACAAGACTACAAGCCCCGTCGAGTACAATAATGGTGCCCGTAAGCACCGAATGGTAAGAGGTGTGCAAATCTCACTAAACACTAGGCCTAAAGCTAGAGCAAGTGCATATGAGCGTGGTCTAACTAACCTAAGCACTTCACAGAGCACCTACGCTAATCATAGAATATTTTGCTAAGCACTATGCATGTGGAGAACACTAAGATGGCATAGCAACACCCTTAGTATGTTTTCTTACTCATCCACACATTATTTGGCCGGTTGCAACTCATACTTATAGCCTCCATTGCAAATAGCGCCGTTGGAAACTTGAAAGCCTTTTTCTATGTATTGTCGAACCAATTGCTAGTCAAGGTCCAACGCTTTTGCAGGTTACGCTACTCCCGATCGTTGCACCGTCTATATGGTCCAACGCTATATATATACCTTGGTCCGACTCTCTCAGTTGTATGTTTCGTGAACAATACCTCTCTATGGTCCGACGCCATATGTGCCTTGGTCCGACTCTCTCAGTTGTATACTCCGTGAACAGTACCTATATATAGTCCGATGCCATATGTACCTTAGTCTGACTCCTCCTATTGAGCGCAGACATGTGAGAGTCGAACTCTCGTATATAGTCCGATGCTACATACAACTTGGTCTGACGCCTGTGCAGCCCTTTAATTTCTTCGTTTCTTCGCGATTCTTGCATCTGGCATGGTTCCATCCTTCGTGGCTTGAACATGCTTGATCTTTTAGGTCATCCATGATGCTTCTAAGGTCTTGTTTGAGGTATTATCATTGGATCACCATATCGCCTTCGTTCAAGTCACGATTGCAACCTATTGGACTATAAAATAAACACTCGCAAACATGTTATTCCAATTTAGTCTTGTTGTTCATCAAACACAAAAATCCGAACTAAATGGATTGATGGTCCATTTTCCTTACGGGACCTACAACACTTCCATGTCAAAAACAACAAGTGCACAAAGCCAAACCTAACATATATGAGCCCACCAAACAAGAGAAGTTGCACTAGTCTAGACTGTCCAGGAATATCCTAGCTCTACTCATTGGTACAGGCCAGATTGGTCAGACAAGTCCAGACAAACAAACATGCTCTAGGTGAACAACTGAACAGGACAGACAGGCAACAGAGAGGAGGAAGTATTGCTTGGTTCATTTGGGGCTGTTGGATGGTCTGTGGATGGCTGAAAAGAATGACAGCTTAGAGCATCAACAATGTATTTTGACGGAAAAATAGCTATTTTGGTCCCTCAACTATTACTCGAGGCTCAGTTTCGTTCCTGAACTCTCAAAATAGTCGTTTTAGTCCTCAAACTTTACTTTTAGGCTCAATTTCATCCTAGAACTATGAAGATGATCGTTTTAGTCCTCAAACTTTGCATTTTGGGCTCAATTTCATTTATAAACTATCAAAGTGTATTTTGCTCTATAAACTTTATTTTTAACTCAACTTTATCTACGTTCTACGTGGAACGCTGCACTGTTGCACTTGGTTAGCTCCAACACTACCAGCGATTGAAGATAGAAAAATAATATTCATCCAAAAACTCTTTCATCTCCATTAATAATTCTAAGCTGTTATTTTTAGTGCTACCTTATAATGGTACTATATATATATATATATATCCGAATAAATGATATTTGTAGGAGCAATTACAGTTGCATCGAACACTATTTATTCTTTAAGATACATGGATATATTGAAATAATAGCAAGTCTATAATTTTGATAATTTATGGATGAAATTATGCCTAAAATATAAAATTTTCTTTTTGAATAGACAAAATTGAGTTGAAAATAAAATTTAAATGCACTTTGATAGTTTATGGATGAAATTGAGCCCAAAATACAAAATTTTGAGGACTGAAATGATCATCTTTATATAGCCTGTTTGTTTCGGCTGAAACGATCGTGGATTATTACTGCTGGCTGGTTTGGTGTGAGAGAAAAATATTGTTCTGACTTATAACCCACGATCGTTTACGACCAAGCGAACAGGCTGATAGTTGTATGATGAAATTGAGACTAAAACTAAAGTTTGATGACCTAAATGACCGTTTTAAAAGTTTAGAGATAAAATTAAGCCTCGAGTAATAGTTGAGGGACCAAAATAACTATTGTGCCTATTTTGACCATAGCAGTCTAAATAGCTAGCCCCACACAGTGGACAATAGTTATGGTCAGTCTCACAATATTCAGCCAAGTCTAGGAAATGTGATACGCCAATCTCAGTAGGAGTTTTATCATAGTTTTACTAGCATTTAATAAGTTGTCACACAAGCATTTTTTATGACGTGGCAACGTATTTAAGAAAAGAGAAAAAATGAGTTTTATGGGATAAAACTTTTTTGACGCGATTACCAACTCTCTAAGCTATTAAATTAAATGTTTATGAAACCAAAGAACGAAACTCTCTATTAAAAATGGTTGTTTCATCTAAATTTTATTTCATTCTGCATGATACGGTAGTCTTGGAAACAGCCCACGAAAGTCTTGCTTATAAGCGGTAAAGAAAAATCGTCTTGCAATGACGGGCATGTTTGCTGGTTGGTGCTGGTGCTAATTTGGGCTGGCTGGTGCTGATTTTTTTTTAGAGAAAAACACTATTGACTGACTAGTTTAGACTAGCTAAAATCAACTAGCGAACCGGCTGATTTTATCCATATGATTCTTTATTATTACCTTCTGCCTACAGTCCGCTCTTCAGGCCACTTGACAAGTCTCGGCTCCTCTCAGATCCACCACACCGCCTAGCTGTTCAGGCCCGCCGTGCGCTGGCCATGGCGGCGGGTCGCGGCGACGCTGCGAGCATGGTGGCGGTGGGTCTGGTGTGGGGCGCCACGAACGCGCTCATGCGGCGGGGCGCGCTCGTCTGGGACCGCCGCGCCCGTGCCTCCTACCCCTCCGGCAACGTCTTCCGCCGGTGGGCGGCCTTGCTCCTGACGTGGCAGTACTCGGCGCCGTTCGCCGCCAACCTGTGCGCGTCCGCAGCCTTCTTCGCGCTCCTCGGCGCCGCGCCCATCTCCGTGGCCGTCCCCGTCACCAACGCCGTCACCTTCGCCGCCACGGCCGCCGCCGCCGCGGCCCTCGGTGAGCGCGTCCGGCCGGCGCCGGCAGTCCTCGGCACCGCGCTCATCGTCCTTGGCGTCTGGGTCTGCATCTCTTAGGCTGAAAGCCTGCTTGAGGTGAAAAATCACAGCCAGTAGTTGCTGCTTTGGTTTGTTCTAGTTCTGATGACATTAATTACAGTCCGTTGGAGAGAGAAAAAAAAGGTTCTGACATTACATTCCAGGGCAATTCTCAGATTTCGTTTCACCCCTGTATGTTGCCATATGAATGAATTATGGCCAGATTGTTGATAGCAGCAGGCAGGGGTGTTTCATTAGCTAGATGGTCTGAATACAGTTTCATTGTGTAATTTGGTTACTGAATCCACTTCTGCTTAGGTGATGAATATAACACTACATCTCCATTCATTACTCTGGCCGTTTGAGGTGAAGAATCAAAATCATTCGCTATGATGGAGGGACATTAGAATATAAATTGTTGGTATGGGAACCAAAAAAAAATCAGAACCAATTCTTGGTTGTTTTGTGTTTTGATCATATATGTTGGCATTCAAATCCATCTTGTCCAGTTTGTTCGATGGAGCCATGACATTACATTAAGAGAGTGTAAATAAATGATCTGAATTCAGTATTGTCCTGCTATTTCATTACTGAATCCATTTGTAGTAATATAATCTGTATCAAATCTGACAGTTCCACACTTCCACTTATTACTTGTGGCCTTGTGGGATGACATGCAACATCATAACTTTGCATTTTCCTGTTTTTTCAGGCATTAATCACCATAAGCTACCCGTATGTCAAAACAGGTTTGCATTGTTCAATGAACTAGAATACCTGACACCGCAATTATGGAGTTAGGACCTTAATTAACCTGTAGAATATTCTACCGGATTGTTGTCCTCTGCTTACCAGTAGGGATGAAAACGGTATGGATATTTTCCGACCGTATTCGAAACCGAATCCGTTTAGAGGGGTTGAGATCTGTCCGTATCCGAGTCCGGATATCCAACATCCGATATCGTATCTGTATCCGAATACTCAAATCGCATATTTATGATGTCGATATCCAATCGTATCCTATCCGACATAGTTGACACTATCCGTATTCGAATCCGAATCCGGACAGAAATATGAAAACAAATGTAATATCAGTGATATCCGTCCGTATCCGATCCGTTTTCATCCATACTTACCAGGTCTGTATGTGGACTACCGAAGCGTTTAAAGGTACGGCCTTACTTCAGAGCTTATGGAGGCCCGCCAATTGCTGATGCTACATGCTAATTCTCACCTCATCTCTGTAACCCACCACCAAAAGAGGCAATACCGAGTAAGTAGCAATCACTAATACTTTACGGTCATGGAACTCAACTCCCTGTTAAGCGATACCATGAACCTTGAGAATGTATGATGATTTATATGTTCTTGATCTTGATGATTGGCTTTTTGAAAATGTGACGGCATGAAATTTTGGAAAAGAGTGAAATACACTGGCAGCCCTTTAACTTGTCGCCCTATGTCAATCCGATCCACGAACTTGCAAACGCGGAAAATAAACCCCCTAAACTTGTCAAGTTGTTCATCGCAGGTCCATTTCTCATCCGGCGCGGCCTCCAGGCAACGTGGCAGTGCCAGTGTGGCAGACGAAGCACGTGAGCCGCACGTTTCAATGGGCCTGCCACGCTCGCTTGCCGGTCGCGCAAGCCCCGCTCGGGCGCGCCGGTCATGCCGCGCCGCTCGCCTGCCGGCACCGCGTGCACTCGGCCACGGCACCGCGCTCGCCCGCTGGCTCCGTGTGCTTGTTGCCGCATGCGCTTGGCGGAGCTGCCGCGCCCCCCGCCGGCACCGTGTGCGCTCCTCCGCGGCACGGCGCTCGCCCGCTGGGCGCTGGCTCCGCGCGCTCGCGTGCTTGCTGCCGCGTGCGCTTGCCAGAGCTGCCGCGCTGGCCCGCAGGTGCCGCCACGCTCGCCCACCGGCACCGTGTGCGCTCCTCCGCGGCACGATGCTCGCCCGCTGGGCGCTGGCTCTGCGCGCTCGCGTGCTTGCTGCTGCGTGCGCTTGCCGGTGCCGCCACGCTCACCCACCGGTGCCGCCACGCTCACCCATGCGCTCGCTGCCGTGCTCTCTGCCGTGGTCACCTGCGTGCTCGCCCATCGGCGCCGCGCGCTCACGTGCTCGCTGCCACGCTCACCCGTGCGCTCGTTATTGTGCTTTCAATGGGCAAGCCGAGCGGCGCATGCTGGTGGTCGTGCTGGCGAGGGCGTCCAACACCGGCTCGTTCTCGATGTCGTTGGGGTTGTCGGCGTCGAGGTCGAGGTTGTTCCTCGACAATGAGCGTGGCGGCACCTGCGGGCGAGCGCGGCGGCTCCGGCAAGCGCACGTGGCTCCGGCAAGCCCACGTCTATGGCCATCTGTCCCCTTTGCGGCGCTTCCTCGCGTGTGGACACGTAGCGGGCTGCGTGTCCAAGTTCGCGAAGGCGTTGGCGAAGTCAGAGTTCACGTCCTCGTCGTTAAAACGCCAAGCCGCCGGCGTTCTCTCTCTGCGTCGCCTCCAGGCTGCTCCGCACGCCGGCAAAATTCGCCGTGGCTGCGCCGCCTCCGCCCAATTCCTCTCGCAACTAGCTTGGACTTGTCCTTGCGCGCTGCTTGCACCCACTCGAATCACCTCTCGCCATCGGGATTAGGTGTGCGCCGGTTTGCCACCACCGTGGTCCGCCATGGCCGCCACAACCCCCTCGCCGTGGCCAGCTCGCTCCGGTTTATCTTCCTCTTTATTATCCCTTGATATGTGTTCCTTGTGACTCCTTGGTGCTCACTAGATCGACCCCTTCGCTGTTTGTCCACAGGATCCGCCGGAGTGCCGTCGCCGGCGGGCATCCTCTACTGGAGCCACCTGTTCGTGCGACCAGGACGCCTCGGGCCACCGCACGACAAGCCGCGACCTCCAACAAGTGCGAATGGGCCCCTTTGTGCTCTTAAGCCACAGATCGCCGCCGGTGAGCGTGGCGGCACCGGCGGGCGAGCGTGGCGGCTCCGACAAGCGCACGCGGTAGCAAGCACACGAGCGCGCGAAGCTAGCGCCCAGCGGGCGAGCGCCATGCCGTGGAGGAGCGCACACAGTGCCGGCGGGCGAGCGTGGCGGCACCTGCGGGCCAGCGCGGCAGCTCCGGCAAGCGCACACGGCAGCAAGCACGCGAGCGCACGGAGCCAGCGCCCAGCGGGCGAGCACCGTGCCATGGAGGAGCGCACACGGTGCCGGTGGGCGGCGCGGCGGCTCCGGCAAGCACATGAGGCAGCGAGCACATGGAGCCAGCGGGCGAGCGCGGTGCCGCGGCCGAGCGCACGCGGTGCCAGCAGGCGAGCGGCGCGGCACGACCGGCGCGGCCGAGCGGGGCTTGCGCGACCGGCAAGCAAGCGTGGCAGGCCCATTGAAACGTGCGGCTCACGTGCTTCGTCCGCCACGCTGGCACTGCCACGTCGTCTGGAGGCCGCGCCGAATGGGAAATGGACCTGCGGTGAATAACTTGACAAGTTCAGGGGTCTATTTTCCGTATTTGCAAGTTCGTGGACCGGATTAGCACAGGCCGACAAGTTAAAGGACCGCCGGTGTATTTCACTCTTTTGGAAACAACTTCAAGAGTAGGCATGAGAGATAGTCACTAGCTGTTGACCAGCAACCGAACCACACCCATGGATTTGCCAAAAAGAAAGCAAATGGCACGGTGTGTGAACTACGAAACTGCAACTTGCACACCATCATTCCGATAAATATATTTCAGCACCCAGCTCTTATGTTCCTACTATTCTGATAGCAACAGTACAGTGCAAGCCTATACAGTCATATTATGGTGTAGCAAAATTTTGAAATGAAAAATAATGCTGGAAAACATAGCAGCCAAATAAACAAAAGAAAATCTGGATCATTTGAATACTAATAGGCATATAATATAGTGCATAGTATCCATAGTGAACAAAATTGACCTTGCACTGTTCAGCTGGTATGAAAAATGCACTGTTCATGCTGAAAAACATTGTTCCGGCTGAAATGTTGTGAGAGAAAAACACCGTTCCGACTGAGAAAAGAGGCTGAACAAGCCAGCTTCTTGGTCAGCCGAACGGGCGTAAACAGTTGGTCACCATGAAGGAGATCCCCAATCATACATGGAGTGTAAAGGAATGACTCATATATACCATAGAAATGCTGATGATAGTGACGTTTTGGGCATGAGTTTCCCAGACATTTAATCTTGGTGCTATTCAAGTGATAGGCAACAACTCCAAACGGTTCAACCATAAAGACAACTTCCTTGTAAGGATGGAATCCCATAATGTCCAGATCTTTGACATCGGAGTCTTCCTGCCTTTCACTGTCTACAGTAAATGTATCATCATTGTCAGAGTCCCACTCGTAACTCTCTTTTGATTGAGATTCAACATTGTGGTCCGTGTTGTGTGTATCATTATTTTCTTCAACAATCCAAGATCCACCTTGTTGTCTACCACTGTAATGATCATAAGGAATTGATGCTACATATCGAGCATAGTGCCCAACCTTAGCTTCATACTTCAGAAGCCACTCCATTTGACCACATGATTCATTCAGAATCCAAATCTGTAGTTGATGATCATGAACTATTCCAAAACATACACTATTCTGCAACTTCCCCAAATATGGCTTTGTGTACTAAATGTTTGCTGGTGTTTCAATTATTTCATAGTTTCTGTTTGCCAATGAAAGCCTGTAAAAAAAAAATTACCATGTTACTATCAATGTATATTTGTTTGATGTATTGACATTAAGTCCATCTTCACCTAAGTAGTAGCCAAAAGTAATTAAAATATTTAATTATAATAATGCACGCGAACATAAATATTCAGGTAATACCATATAGAGCACCTAAATGTGTATGGCAGTGAAGAAACATACTCCTACGGAAGAAAGTAAGATAGCATATTGTCTAATTACATATAACCAAAAAGGGGAATAACAAGTTTTTATTTTTGGAATTCTGAAAAGATATAGCAAAAAACGAGGACTAATTATAGCATATATATATTCTACATTTCTCATTTAAACTTTTTTTAAGCTATACCAA